CTAGCAGTCAGCTGAAGTGGCCTTGCAGTACTGCACCTTAACCACTGCGCCACCTCGGCTCTATAATAAGAAGGAATGTCCTCAGTGAGAACAATTAAGCAGTGGAACATCTTGCCTCCAGAAGTTGTGGGTGCTCCATCAATGGAGGATTTCAAGAAAAGACTGGACAGCAATTTGTCCGAAATTGTATCTCCTGCTTGAGCAGGGGGTTGGACTAGAAGACCTCCAAAGTCCCTTCCAACTCTTGTTATTGTCTAGATATCAAACAGCATTCGGGATCAAACAGACCCACCAGCAACAATTAATACAACCCACCCAAGATAACTAATAGGAGAGACTCGCTGTGCATTGATTACTTCGCATTGTCTATTAATTCTATCAATTGCTTTGCGATTTTCTATTGAAAAGAAAGAGTACAATAAAAATCAGCTACAGCTCTTCTCTCGACTTCTGATTTCAGTGACACTTCCAGATTGTTCTCTCTTTGCAAAAGTGGGCCCCCAAACGAGTAAAAAAAAAAAGAAGCCTAAATTTGCGTATTAATTGTATACTTATTCATACAGTTCATTTGGACTTTCCTAGCATTATTGCCCCTTATGCTGTTTTCCTTTTATCGTTTCCTTCCACGATCCAGGCTATTTGACAGTGAGTGTCTAATTAGTTGTTGGCCACACAAAAAATCAATGGAAACAAAATTAAAGTTACAAATCTAACTAAAGTCAATCAGATATCTGTGGGGAAAACTTGTTCCAGGGAGAAAGTTTATATAGTGTCATAATTTTATTGAAATCCTATATCTTCCTATTGACTTTTATTGTTTCAAGCGAGATGCTGGAATTATCATTATTAGAGTCTTGGTGTTGCTTGCAGGTCAAAAAAAAAATGGACTTTTCCTTTTATAAACAAGCTGTAATTGTCTTCTTTATTGACCCATAAATCTCTAAGCTGACTCCCTTCACTACAGTTCCATTACATTACTATTTTCCCGAAGTGAAAATACAGCCTCTCCCTGTTTTATTTAATTTATTTTGTTTTTAGAGAAATTGTTTTGTCATTAGCGGCAAAAGAGGAAGAACATGGACTTGTCTTTCTTTCGTAATAACTTTTTAATGACAAATTCTAGTCACAGTTAAATTTGCTCTCTTTCCAGCCGAGTGCACTTCAGCTGTTAATTTAAAAGCAAAACTACAGCTCGTTCATTTTTATTTTATTTTTGACATTAGCGAAACGAACAGGCTAAAAACGCCGTGTTGGAAAACAGAACTATGATTATGTTTTCAGCCAAGTGGTTGAAAGTAAGAGCACAGAAGCAGTTTTGCTCCTGAAAAACCGAATTCATACTTTGATTAATTGGCAATGATTTAAGGAGAAGATTAATANTTTTCAGGCCATTTTCCAGGGAATTTTCTGGCCGTTTTTTGGGTCACAAACAGGCTCGAAAAAAGGCCTGAAAATTCCCTGAAAAACGGCCCAGAAAATGGTCTGTTGGGGCTGTTTTCCAGGGAAATTCCAGGCCGTTTTTTGAGCTGTTTTTGGCCCCAAAACCAGCTGGAAACCAGCACAAAAAAACAGCCCCCCAAAGCAGCCAAAAACAGATGTATGTGTACGCCAGCCAGCTGGTCTTTGGGTTTCCAGGCATGCACATGCACACACGTTCTGGTTTGAGCACTCAGTGCCGAACAAGTTTGCTCTCGCTGCTCTGGAGTTTGCACACCTCCATAACGTTTTTACCCGGAGATGTTCTTTAACCGTTTTGGCTTTTCAGGCCATCCTGAATTTATAGCCTCCCCCTCCTCTGTCCTCCTCAGATAAACAATTAGGAAGCACTTGAGGCTTAACAGCCCATCTTGAAGCCTGCTTGGAATCCAGGTGGAAAAGCGGAGACCGGTTTCCCCAAAAGCAACAGTGTCTGATGTGCAACCCTCCCCATCAGTCATCCCTTGACGAGAGGAAGCTGAGTAATCAAAGCGCCTTGGCAACTCCCTCCCGTCTCAGCGGCTGTGACTTCCAGGAGACGCAGTTCGCGATGTTAGCTTAGCAAACAACCGGCTACACTCGGGTCTCCATAATTCAGATGACAAATCGGTGGGCAGAGGGAGTTCAGATCACAGAGGAGCTTGAGGGCAACGCAAGGAGGACATTTTCACCATGCCGTTGTCAGGGTTCCAAACAGCATCCAAAATTAAATCGGAGTCCGAGGCAAAGCATTCCTCAAAGTTCCAATTTATGAAGAGAGACATGTTGGCACATCTGGGGAAACCCGAATCTGAAAGCTTCCCGAGGTGCCGAGGTGGCGCAGTGGTTAAATGCAGCACTGCAGGCTACTTCAGCTGACTGCAGTTCTGCAGTTCGGCTGTTCAAATCTCACCGGCTCAGGGTNCAGCCATGTGACTGGGTGGGCATGACCAACTTGTAAAATGTAGTGAAACTCACTTAACAACGCTCTTGCTTAGCAACCAAAATGTTGGCTCAGAAACTGGTCTTTGAAGCACGCAAATCTTAAAGCTGTCAAGTTACAAGACCTTTGCACCCCTAACCCTTTAGAAACCCCTCCCCCCAGGGGTGTTCAAACTTGGCAGCTTTAAGTCTTGTGGACTTCAACTCCCAGAATTCCTCCTCTCCCTCTTCATCTTGATGATGGGCGGACGGGCGGGGGGAGGGAGCTGGAACCGGTTCTAAACGGCACTGTAGATTTGTGGAACCTCTTCTACAGAAGAGGTTAGAACTGACAGGAAACCACCCCTGATCTTCTCCCTGAGGAAATGCACCCATCGATGGAAAAAGTCCCCACCTTCTGCTAAAAAAAGAAAGCGTCAACCTGAGTTAGAACTGGTAAGGAAAAAAAGCAAGGAAATTTCTGTGCCAGGTACTAGCGTAAATTTATATTAGCTTTCCCTTGTTTTAATTTCATCTTGTAACTTCTTGTCCAGAAGTATCCTCATCCCACATATTCTCAGACTCGCAATGCATGTGGCTGCAGCAGACTGGCAATTTGCAATGAATAAAATATGTCTGAAAAGTACCGCTGTGTTAAATGTAAGTAGGGTTGGGCAGAGAGATCCTCTCTCTTGAACACATCCTCCCCCCTAGTCTGGGAAGCCTAGAGATAGTGACCGGGACTGACCAAACAGAACTGAATAACAGAGTTGGAAGGGACCTCGGAGGTCTTCTAGTCCAACCCCCTGTTCGAGAAGGAGACCCTATGCCATTCCAGACAAATGGTTGTCCAGTCTCTTCTTAAAAGCCTCCACCCAGTGTGGGGAGCGCCCACCTCTTCTGGAGGCAAGGTTCTACTGCTTAATTGTAAGTGTCCCGGCCTTCCGTAAAGCCACCTCAAGACTGGATTACTGTAACGCGCTCTACATGGGGCTGCCCCTGAAGAGTGTTCGAAGACTGCAGTTGGTCCA